CTTTTCCCATAAAATTCCTGAGAATATTTTACTTTTTATATTTACATGTAGCAGAATTGCCTTAGCAAAAGTGCAGCGATAATATCATGATCACTTCTCTCTCATTACCATATGATTTCAGAAAATGTTTTGTAAGGAGGCAGGTGGGTTACGCTGCAATTTTTAGACAGGTGCCTTATCAATCAGTATTCAAATTACGGGTTCCTTCAAAGTTTATCATCCAGATTCAGATAATGGCATTACCAACACACTTGGTTGCATATCCCCTTTTCCACTTGTCATAAGGGGAGGGGGAGGATTTAACAGGTTGACTTTCTGGCAGGACAATATGTTTTGTGCAAAACTTTTCAGAACACAACCCGACTGGCAATGTAAATAAACATCTACTCTACCATTTACCACAGCTTATTTCTGCAAAAGAGCTTACTCTAAAAAAGGTTCTGACCATGATATGTGAAAAAAAAAACTAAAAAACAAGACAGAACTGCGTCAATCAAATGGAGAATTAGGCCCCACGCAGGTGCCCTCCATGGGAAAGTCCAGTTTCCAGACATATTATATACATTTCCAGGGGCAAGACCGCAACTTGGCATCAGTGTTATGTAATTCCATAAGTATGCTTTAACCCAAAAGGTTTCAAAAACATGTCAAGGTGACCTTTTGGCTTAGAATCGCCAGTCACACCTAGAACCAAGATCAGTTCCGCTTTACATTTTTTTGGGTCAGAAGTTTACTTAGTATGCTAAAAGCAAAGAAATTCTAAACCAAAACAAGCTTTCAGCTACAAGAGTTACATAATCCCAGAGGCATGGTGGAACTGAAAACCCTGTAAAACAAGTCTTGCTGTAAGCAGAATGTTGCCAGTAATGAATTTTTTTTTTTTTTTTTTGCTTTTTTCACTTTGAATTCCTAATCCGTCTTGTCTACGCCACACCCTATGTTTTTGCAGGAGTTTCCAACAAGTTAAAATTTTCAGTTAATTAGTACGTTTACCATATTTTTCTTTTTCTATTTCTCTCCTTTGATCACCTTCTACATATTAGCAATTGCTGTTTTCCCCTAAAAGAAATATGTTTGAAAAACTTACCTCCCCCATTTCTATAACACAGGTAAGGGAATCTCCAGATGTTTCCCAAACCAACAGCATAGCCCACACAAGAGAGCAGAAAGTCCATGCGTCCAGTCCAGTTTCCACGTTCAGTGTTCTCATCTCCGCTCATACTACTGGAGCTACTGAACGTCCCCACGGAGGAATCGTCATCCTTTCCATGAACCAGGCTGGCACCCTGAGTAATAAAGATTTTTTTTAATTAAATTTACTAATTTAAACTATACGCTTTTTGAAATTTTCATTCCTTGAAAATACATCGAGATTGGAATGTTGTAATTTCATTCAATTTGGTTGGTGTTATTGAAACCTCATCCAGGAACTGCACATCAGTCAATGAGAAAAGAGCTGTAAGATACGGACTTTTGAACTAGTCAGTATAGCAAAGAAAATTTTAACCTGACTGTAAAATAGAAACCATACTCTTTTGTTTTTTCGTATCCACTATAAAATGTATTAAGTGCCTTTTCAAAAAGTAAGAATTTATTCATACTATGTCATTTTTAGAAATTTACCTGGCATTTGCAAAAGGTAAGTACATTTTGGAAGCCATTTTCTTTACTCTTTCACCTTTGAAATTTGCCCCTTCCTTCTTTTTAAAAATTTTTATGGGGAGGGGGAAGGGGCTTAAATTCTTTCTTGGATAACATTCATCCATGTATATGCTAATGCCCCTTGAACTACATAAGAACTAAAGTGATAAAATTTGTGTATGAAAGATGAAAAGGAATCAGTGCCATTGTACAACTCTGCATGGTTCTTATGCAACGTCTGCTAGTACGAGTCGAGTCGATATGTCAATAGAAATTTGATCAAGCAGCTCATGTCAATAAAAATTGAGATTATTACACGTCCAGAGTGTTTGGAATAATTGCATATGTCAATTTGTAGTTTCTGTTATTGACCAATTTTGCATTCCCATCATACGTACGATTCCTTTAGACTTGTGCAACTATAGTAACCATCAAAATAACACTTCTCCTCTGGTAATGAATTTACACAGGGGGGTGGAATGACCTTTAAACTTTACACTGGTAGTATATGTAGATGGAAACTAATATATTTTCCTTTCAAACACAAATCAACCCTAACAAACCAATGTTGTTTCACATATGATTCATTATTATTTATCTATCTTATACTAACACCAAATGTCATCTAATCTATTTAGGAAGTAATTTGCCCTTCCTTCCTTCCTTGCAACATTTTATTGATAAAGGTCTGATAAAAAAAAGTACCTCCCCTCCCCAGATAGCATGACGTCGTCGGCCCGACGTCTATTTTGAGCTACGCATATAACGACGATACGTCGCTAGCTGGCCGCTGTTGGCCCGCCGTCTATACATTAGTGATGTGTAGTTGGCGGGCCGACGACGGAAAGAGCGCTACTTTCCGTCGATAGCCACCGGTGGCCCACCGTCGGGCCACCAGCGACGTAGTTGTTGTACGGTCAAATTTTAAATACAAGCCAAATTTGTGTACGTGGCTGCTTACTGCGTTACCCCCAGTGCGTCGAAGACGATTTTAAGGTCTTTTTAACCTGTTACGGAATGTACAATTTTTATTGGCTTTCAAATATCACATGACGTCCAACACGCGACGGATGCACGCTACGAAAGCACGCGGCGACGTCACGAGACGACTGCGTTGTCTGTCAGCTCTCCCACCGAGTTGGACGTACGTGCTGTGCTTTATTGTAAGAAGGTAAGTTTACTTTATTACAATGTAAATACTAGTAGGCATACGATTAAATTGTATACATAATATATTTTTATTAAACGGTATGTTCTGCAGGGATTTTGCTGTTGTGTCGAATCTAAGCAGGGCTCGACGTCAGCGGCTGTCCGCCTGTCTGGGACAGGTAAAAATTCAGTTCGGACAGGTGAAATTGCAGGGTTGGCTGTCCGACGAACAGGTCATGTTTTTTTTAGAAATGTGGAGCAAAAATCTTTAAAAAATCATTTTCTGTTGCATACCAACTTCTTTTTGCCTCTTCCTAGACGGCATTGAATAGTGACCTACTTTTGGCACAAAACAAATGCAGTCGCAAAACGAAGTCTGAGCAAACTTACCGCCAAATTATGAAAGTGAACACCCTCCAGAACTTCATCAGACAAAATTTATTCACATATCAGGTTCACTACTGAACATTTATTTAGTTAAAAATCTACGTGCTCTAGTAATAAAGACCCTTCCAAAAACAGAAACTACACAAGTATATGTACTGTGCTGCCTGCATGGTTAGAAAGCCAGGTTGGACTGGATGAACTGGCTATATCTAGTTCGTTGTCAAGGCAACATACTGCCTGTCAATCAAATACGTTGTATGCTATCTACTCACTATAGAAAGTGAAATCTTTTGGGACTGAAGATCTTGTTGAAATGTTGTTTATTTGCCAAGATATAACCTGAAATTTTGTATGATGTTTTCTTTAATGACTCTAGCATCACCTCTGTTATTTACAGTTTAACCTTTAGTGCTGGAATATGATTGCTCTCATATGCCAGTGTGATATTGACGTAAGGAAGAATTTTTTTTTTTTTAGCTTTGGTTAAACTTCATGTGAATCTGTTAATTATCATATTGTAGACTTACAATTAGTAGAGCCTGTACCCCAAATCATAGGAAAAACCCTAATTGGAACTAAATAAATATTAGACTTATATGAAAGAACTTCAGGAGTTCAAAAATATGAAAAAACAACTTTTTATCTGAACATAAATTCACTTTAAGGTGCATTTTCGGGGCTCATATGATTGAATGTTTTGGTAATAAATACATTAAATGTATGACTACACATATTAATTGACAAAGTTCAAAGGTATGAATAGAAAAAAATCATTGGTTTTGTGGACAGGTTGGATTGAAAATTGGACAGGTCAAATTTATTTGTCTGCTGGTGAGTCAAAATAATTTTTCATGATGTAATATTTTCCCACTCTATCACCTCTCACGCCTTAATTTGATTGTAAAAACACTGAAATATATTTAAAAATGTTTTAACTTAAACAGATGCTGCCAAAAAAAATGGTATAATGGAAAGTGATGCGGAAAGGATCATGAAGACGTGTGGTTGAAGAATGCCAGTGACAGGGAGGGAGGAAGGCAGCGAAGATTGTTGAAGAAGATTGGTATGTATAACATCCTTGTATTTAATCATATTTATTTTCTTTTGTCTCTTTTTACACATATTAAAAAATTGAAATTACTGTTTTAATACAAAAATAAGATTCTTTTCCATGTTTGCACTACATGTATCAGTTGGTTTCTTAAATAGATCAGTTTATTCTCATTCTGGTGATGTCGATCTCCATGCCAATCCTTTTACTTACGTTGAATTTACATGTAAACATTTCAGTTTAATAGGGATATGATGGACAATCACTTGCAATCACTTCAATGTGTTCTTTTCAGAAAAAGAAAGAGTCCAGGCTTTGCAAGAGACAATTGTATCATCATCCTCGGATTCAGACTGATGTTTTTTTTTTTTTTTTTTTTTGGTCCTGAGTCGAAAGTATGTATCATGTTACATGCTTATTGAGAAATTAAATTTGGATACCTTAGTCAAGATTGACTATTAATTAAGGTTAGGGAATATTTGCCGAAGACATAGACTAACTGTGCTTGGATCTACATGAACATGTATATGACATTTTTGACTGTTAAATTGTTCTGACTACAAATTAAAGCACTCATGCTTGGTTCTTTCAAACAGATATGTTGCAGTTAGAGTACTGAATAGAGTTAACTTAGAATTGTTAATGTTGTTGTTTGTATATTTTGTGATATGAACAATATTGTTCCTACATAGTGTTATTTGCTGCAAGTAAAGACTGCATTAGACTGGTATGGCTTTGGAAATATAAGAAAATTTATTTCCCTGTACTGCTTAATGGACGTACCGGTATTTATGGATATGTTTATGACAGTTAAACTTGTTTGACTATATAAACATTATATTGGACATGCATGTTTCGTTCAAATGAATATTTTACCAGATACAGTACTAGAAACAGTTTTTGAATAGAATTAACTAAGTATTTTATATGATGTTGTTGTTGGAAAGCTTGTGAGGTTAATGATTGTTGTTACATTAAATAGTGCAAGTAAAGACTGTATAAGACTGGTATGGCTTTGGGGTGTGTTGGGAGGCCATTTTACATATAAAATAATTCCCATTTGTTAACCCTATTAAATGCTTGAACCTACAGGCACATGCATTCAAACAGATTTTATTACCATGTGGGTACAGTAACAGTGTTGAATGGAGTTAACTTAAGTATTTTATATATGCTGTTGTTTGAGATGAATGTTTTTTGTTACTTTAAAAGTGTTACTCACTGCAAGGGAAGATAAGTGTAACTGGTATGGCTCGGGGAGGGGTTGAGGCCATATCTCATAGTGGAAGATTACCTATGTTTTCTATACTTTAGAAATAGAATTTGTTTTTTTTAAGTATTTATCTGAAGGTCCATTATAACTTGCCACTCTGTTGTATTTTAAGGAAGAAATATTACAGAAGAATAAACACTCTTGAAATATTACATTGTGTTTTGTCCATTATATATGACAATAATAATGATAATATAATTATCAGAAAATTAATAAATCAATTAATTAATGAATAATAAAGAAAATAAAAAATAGATAAAAGCAGTGGACCTACGTCGGCCCACCAGCTACTTGTCGCTGGTGGGCCGACGTTGGGCCGCTCAAGTTGTATGTCGCTGGTGGGCCAACGTTGGACCGATGGTCAGGCCAACGTAGGCCCACCGGCGACAGTAGCTGGTGGGCCGACGTAGTTGGAGTCGGCGGCCCAACGTCGGCCCACCGGCGACATGCTATCTGGGTCTCTACTATACTTAGTTACTTAGTTGCTTAATCCCAATCAAGCTGATAAGTCAAAAGCCAAATTTTTCTGAGCTATGAAAAACTAACCTTTCTATTCCTTTCATGGCCAAATTTGTCACAAAATTAGTTCAAAATTAGATTTCCCTGCAATTATCCAAGTATTTGGATAAAAGGAATTCTATCCTAAAATGAGCCAAGCCAATGGCCAGGTATGTCCAAGGTTTAAGTTACCGTCAGGTATACAGGAGCTAATAGAGATGTTAACTATCATGCAAGGGTATCATGTTTGGGCTATTAAGGACAACAACAACAATGGATGGGCACACTTAAACCATTAAGATGCCTTTCTTATTCAAAGGAGCAGTGTGGAAAAAGTCCAGCTAGCAGCACTTTTCTGTAAAGGATACAATAATAAGGAGTGCTCTATTACTCATGACAACATCCTTATCTGTAGGAGGTATTTATGCTGTGTTTGGGGGCGTGAGGTAGAACAAATATGGACAGGCCAACTACAAGTGGACATCAGGGAAGATGCTCCCCAATACTTTGACAACTGCCAATTAATTTGTCTAAAAAAAAAAAACAAAAAAAAAAAACTATTTATATAAGTAATTCAAGGGCCAACTAAAATGAAAATACATTATATGAACTACTTAAACTCTAAAAATGTCCATAAACTGCTAAAATTATTCTCATAAAGATTCTTGTCTGAGAACTTAATTGCTGTTTGTAAAGAGACAAAAATGAATATATTTAAAAAAACAGAAAGGAAAAATTACAAATTTGGATTTTTTTGTATAGAATGTAGACTATGTGTTATCAACATTATAATTTTTTGTAGGCAGAAAGATTTGGGCTCATCTACCAACATAACTCCCATTATTTCTTTAATTTCTTTTGCAAAATTAATCAGCAGCCTTCCATAATTAATATAACATGATACCCGTGAACATCTGGCGCCGTGATTTTGACGTGTGGATATCGATGTGGGCGATTTGTGTGCCAGAGATAGACCTCAACGGTATCTTTAATCATTGAACGCATTCATATCAGTGTGTACTATAATAGTAGGTGAAGTTATTCAGACGAAAATAACTTGAAATCTGATCTTGTTTGCTAGGTTGCTAATCTTGTTCCGCTTTGCCTTAGCCCGTTTTTATTTTCATTCTCACATTTCTGCCCTTTCTCACGCCCTTCTCAGAGTATGGAAAATGATAGTGAAGAGTTTTTTTTTATTTGATAAAAAAAACTTAGATAATTTATATACGCTAAGAAAAGAACTATTTCATAAACTTAGCAAAAATAATACAACGCAACAGTCACCACGCCCCAATAGCCACTTTATTAATTTGGCACCAGTGCCAGCATTAAAGTGTAAATTGACTTTCATCAATGTTCGCACAGTATAGAAGTATCAGGCGGAAAATTAATATTTAACGCGACAACTACGGTAAACAATAGGTATCCATTCATACGATCATCAATTACATAAAAGGCATGCCGCTCTGTAAATGAAAGGGAACGACTCCAAATAGTTAACCTAGTTTCTTATTTTTTCAGCCAATCATTCACGTGGAACGCTGTATTTTTCCGTGACGTCATGATACGTCATGGGTCAAGCCATGTGGCTCATTCACAAAAATACTCACTCACCCCTGTCGAATTCCAAGTAAGACATAGTTAACTATGAAATAAAATGCTATCTCAAAGCTATCTTACAAAAGCCTTAACCTGAAAAACTTAACATCTTTGTATTTCGCCGACTGTCGTCTTGGAAATTTTCCATTACCAAGAGAAAGAGTGTAACATTATGCGGCGTGTACATGTACTGCAGTCCTCAGAATTCCACGTTTTCTCATTACTTTGCAATTTATTTTTATTAATAATCAATTCTACTCACACTATTCATCAGAGTTACGCCCGATTTTTCATCATCCAACTGAGACAAGTGAGTTTTCTTCTTATCAGGCATTTTGGTTTAGTTTCCCAGTCAACAATCTTCAATACTTGTTTACGAGAAAATTTCTTGATTCTGTTTCGATGGCGGGCTTCTCTCATGCATTTTATATACACGGCTTTTCAATTGGTCACACTTTCAAAGGAGGGGAGCAGGTTGTGTAGTTTTGTTTAAAAAATAGATTTTTTGTTTGTTTTTTTATTTCTGCTGATAAAGGCACTATACATAAAATTTGCAAAATATAAAAGATTATCAAGTATGTTCCCAATAAATAGTTAAGACCCGATTTATTATTTAACCAAAAGAATAATGCACCTCATATGGAAGAGTCCATTATGACGAACACGGTGATTGGTTCGAAATGTCACGCACGTAAAGTCATAATTAACATAATTGTTATTGATTTATATCCCACTCCCTTCTTTGCACATAATATTATTGATAGATCAAACAAAATCATAAAGGAGTTGCTATATGTATCTGTAAAATTTGTACTACAGTACCAGCCACTCACGAACTGCTCAATGAAGCGCAATGTAACGCTATCATTCAATTCATATAAATTGCTTTTCAACAATATTATTTTTTCTGTTCAAGTGTTCTGACAAGTTCGGATTTTGAAATAAGAGCTTAATAGTTGTTGTTAAAGAAGTTCACATTACACACAATCATACAAGGCTTCAGTGCCGTTGATTTATACTTTGTTGGCGGCAAAATGGGAACCCTGGCCCAGCTGCCAGCGGCATCATCATGTCACAGTTATTCCTACCTGAATAGGCGTCCTTGCAAACAACATATTTCTCGTATAAGCCTACTGATGATAATAATTAAGGCTCTTTGAGCTTCAGCCCCACATACTGGTATCACCCCCCCCCACCCCCCACCACCACCACCACCACCACCACAACAACAAACACACATAATATACATCGGATGCATGCCAGCCCGAAATACACAATTAACGGCCATGTAGGCCTACATGAGTATCTACTGCAGTCGTTACTAAAACACCTGAAGGGCACAGGTCTGCGTTAAATGAAAAGCCATTGGTTTTGGTGCAAGCATATTTTGCTATTTATAAGTGTAACGTTTGAACTATCCTTCTAGTTCGTGTCGACCCAGCCAGTAGGTTATGTCAATATGAGTGTGCACGTGAGATCTAAATTGTTAGGTATCCGGGTTTTCGCGCCAAATCTCATTTAAAAATCTAAAAAGGAAAAAATCCTTCTTACTTATTATATACTAGTAGACACAGATGCTTTTATTTGAGAGATTTTAACATGTCAAATCGGTGAATCGGGAAAGATAATTACTATTTATTATCTTTGCGGGATATATAGATAGGGCCTATATAAAAATATGACTTATTGACATTTTCAAGCGCGTTAAGTATACTTTTAAAGGAATGAATTATACAAACAAACACGTGCAAAATAATACAGGCCACATCCCGCGATGATTCAAGACATTTTCAAGCTACTCGCAGGCTCTTACTCAGTGTGCACAACATGATTACATTTCATCTGCACGGTCTGTAGAGATAAGCGTTCAGCATCAACATTACGTAAAGCAGCGAATAACTTCTACATGCTGAAACGCCCTCTTTTGATACGTACAAAGGGTATTCTCTCCAGCTGGGGGTGAATATTTCACTTTGCACACTCCTTCAAGCCTACAGAAAAAGTGGTTTTGTGTCCCTTCTTCAAAAGCAATTTTACCAGCATTAAAATTGATGCTCTGGGAGTTTTTTTTATTACCGTGAAGACTTATATTAAAACAAGGCTGAAAGGTTCGGTTAACCATAAATATATGTTAAACCCCCTTACATAAAACTAGAAATCGAAGGAGCTCATATATCGTTACTACTCATATTCAAGCAGTTGAAATTACAGTGGTTATTCAGCTAAAAAAGAGCTAAAACGAGCTAAAACTAAGTTTTTCTGGCTGCAACCAGTCTGTGCTGGTCTTGGCTATACAAAGAAAAATCGATCGAATATGACGCATGGCTTAGCAACGCTGGTTATAATCGATACTCAGTAATACAAAGGGCGAATTTAATCGCGACCAGTATGTTACATGTATTATCGCCTTACATAGGGCCAAACAATATTCAAATTATAATTATTGTTATTATTATAATCATGCTTCCCTTCTTTTTCTAATATTACTTATGTGTTTGTCCACAACACTGGCTAAAAAAAAGATGTGCTATATTATATTATATTATATTATATTATATTATATTATATTATATTATATTATATTTATAATGTACAATACAGGCACAGGTCTAGCACGAAGAGGACGGGTAATGATTTCCTCAGTACATGTATTGTGACTAATGTATGTCTTTAACTATTTGTGTGTTAGTGCAAAAATATTCCAAAACTTTGTGGATGAAGACGGAGTCCCCCTGAATGTCAGGATCTTTTTGACATTTAAGCTTTTCCAAAGCCCAATGTTTTTTTTGCGTCTTCATTTTATCTTAAATTTCTGATTTACTATTAATTTTTGTTTTATTTTTAAGTATAAAAATTTGCACAATATTACATGACTCTTTTATCCGTTTGGCTTAATTATTAAGGGGAGAAAAAATAGCTACACTTTCCCCGTTGCGATCGATATATCGATTTTAAAGATTATTTTAGACCGGT